CACCTAACAGGTTAATTGGGCATGTGGAGGATACTACAAATCGAGCAAGCAAGTTTGGGTAATTGCCAACTCGCAATGGGGTTGTTAAAGGACTGTGCCTTGGTTGGCCATCCACTCCAACACAAGAGACATCTATTTCTGATAGGAATGAGGCATCTGGCAGGTCTTGTTCTCTCAGAACACTTCGGGCTGCACCTGTGTCAACTAAAAATGTGGTTTCTCGTCCTTCAATGGGTAAAGTCACAGTGGCAAGTGGCCCCCCTTGTTCCCTGTAGACACTGCCATGGCAGGGGCATTAAGCATCAGCGGGTTTGCTCTCCTCTGTATGGGCTGTGTTACTGACTCAAACCCCTTTCTATGTCATTAGCCATAGCTTTTTGCAGTCTGAACATGTCTATCATTATAAATAATGGTTAATAGTAAGTGAAGTAAAGTTCCTATATGTCTTTGGATAAAACGTTAACTATTGCGGTACTATCATTTATATCAATTAGACTACAACAATTATACCACCCTGTAACTAAAATAAACAACCAGTAGTGGCTGGGTTAATAAAACATGTCACAAACCCTTCTAATGCTAAACCATCATTTAACGTAAAGGATGTTACTGTAAACATACGATCTGTAACTAGCAAGATTCGATTAAGTAAAGATACAATGTTTAAAATAACTTGCATTATTTAGCTATTTCCCTTGTTGTAAGATGAAGCTGGATAATCAGCTGTTATGCTCTTATATTCATGTCCAACAGATCTCATTTGTAGGTCACACCACATTTGCAAATTACATTTTAGCAACCTTCTTTTTTTTTATATCACGGACACATTGTTGATACAGGGAAACAAATGGCATGATTGTTTTAGTAATTATAATGTTTCTGTTCATAATATGTAGAGTGTAAGGAAAACAACATGTCTCTAAATAGGACGAGCATAATAGGGGTAGGCCTCATGATGGAGGCAGCCATGACAGGGGCGGGGAAGGAAATGACAGCAAGGGAGGAAGTGAGATGACGTCCATGATAGGTGTGGGAAAGGAAGACAGGAGGTGTGGGCATGGTAAGGGCAGAAGTGACGTTACTTTAGAAGCAACCATGACTGTAGATAGGTCACGGGACTGGCAGGGTCAACCTCCTTCTGTACTAGGCGCCATCTTCCTTTAGGGCATACTAAGTCTCTCTGGAGGCGTGGGTTTCATGGGAAGTAACATTCTGTTCGGCAAAATGAAAATCTGAACTGTGGACAGACTTGACGGATTAAATAAGACAGTTGAGAACATTATGCATTTAACAGCCCATACAGCTGTTTCTAGAAACATGTACTTTAAAATAACTTTAAAATAATAAAATGATGCAAAATAAACTCACGGAATTCAACCAATTTCCCTTATCTTCCTCAAACCATTAATCACTTTCCTCCTCTTATACTGACTTAACAACATCGCATATTCCCTCTACACCTTCCTAAATCCCGTATTCAACACTGAATGCAATCTTGTGAGCTCGTCACTCCCACAATCCTCAGTACCTTATACTCTTATCAGTAGAAATGCAGGCAAGCGGGGAGGAGAGGGGGGGAGAAAGTGAGACAGTGCAAAAAAGGGAGTGAAGCTGCAGGCATGAAGATTAACCATGTGAGTGCTGGAAAGTAACAAGACAGAAGGACAGAGACTTATACGTTTGGAAACCAGAAATCTTTGACGGGAGAAACGGACTGGAGGTGCAGGGAGCTGCAGAGAGAGGATGAGGGTGACGAGATCTGTAGGACTGATGGGGGGGGGGAGAATAGGGATCCATCAGCATCCAGTGACACAATTATTATAATACACAAACAATCTTAAACCTTTATGATTTATCTCTTCCTCTACCCAACCCTCCTGCTGGATAGCCTTTGCTACTCTGTACCATGCTTCAGCAGTACGTAATAAATCATTATCTGTAAGCTTGCCTTTCTTCTCTGTCAGTAATCTACGCCAGCTTTCTGGCTGTAATCTACCACATGAAGGCACAGCAATTTTACACACTTTAGCAATCTTTGCAACATTTTTAACCAGTTCTTCACCTTCTCTATCTTCAACTAAATCACACGCGAGCCAGCCCCTAGCGGGCTTACTCGTTTCCTGTCCCATATCCCCCTATACAAAGCGTCCCAAGTATAGGTAAAGGAAAATGAAACAGAACGTCTACAATGCTCGACTGCCACTAGGAAGGGTGGGTCCCTCCCAGTGCGTCTTCCCAAAACGTAGACCAGTCACTGAATCCGTGTACCCTCGATGGTAACCACGGATTGGAGCGGGGTGAGAAGTGTGTGACCAATCACTTCTCTTTCAAGAGAAATAGGAGTGGATAGTGTAAATAGTACAGGAAGTAAAGTAAAAGTAAACAGTGAAAGTAGAGACAGACCCAGGAGTTTGAATGACTCCACACTTAAGACAACATTTAATACAACATTTCAATTGAAATACAGTGCATGCATCAACAGTAATCCCTTTCCTTTACTCTTGTGGCCACCAAGGCCACCTCCCTCAATCTCGTAGTGTCCCCGCTCGGAGAACAACTTTCGTAAGTTTCACTACCAGCGGCCAAGGATAACGACTAACACCGGCCCGAAATCCATATGCCTCCCTCGTTACAGCAGTCCACTAAGTGTGGCCACCTCTATCCTCACTCCCGTAGTGCTCCCTATGGACCCACCCACAAGTCACACTACCCCGTGGTGATGGAGACAACAATGCCTGCCCGAATCCACACACCACAAATAAATTGGAATGCCACCAGCCTCAGCGCTCGAAGCTGGAGGGTACCATAACCTCTGCAAGCAGAGCAACGTACACAATGAGGCTAGCTAGAATATCAAAGTGACGTAACCGGGAAACCCCAGGAGGCAAGTCCCCTCCACAGATCCCCCAACCCTTCTTTTTCCTTACTACTGTTAGCTAGACAGTACCTAAAAGAAGTAAACAGGAAAACAGGACCCCTTTGGAAAATCCCCACAGGTCCACCCCCCCTTTTTTCCCAACAGTCTGGGCCAAGTGACTCCTAAAAAGGGGTAAAAACAGGCAACAGAAGACCCCCAGGCAACCACCCACGGGTCCACCCCCCTTTATCCCAAAAGAGGGAAAGAACAAAACATATACCACTAGCACACCCAGGCAACAGATAGACTAAATGCAGGTAAACAAATGGGTAACAAGACACCGGGCAAGATATTACCTGTCTTTGATGCCCTCCCGGGAAGCAGTCACAGACACGTGGACGGGTCAATCAAAGGGGCTGGAACATACCGGTGGCTCCTGCAGAAGTCTCTACCGTGTACTCAGAGGTGATCAGTCTCTCTTCCTTCCCCCCTGATTCCTCCGTCCAACAGCGTCTTCCTTAGGACGGCTTACCGGCGGAGGCCATAGCCCGATGCCCCACGTTGGATGGACGCCAGATTGATGTAGATTAATTTAGAAATAAACAAAAATGTTTAAAAGTCTATCTGTTCCTGTCCAAATCTGAGATGAATAAATTGCGTATACGCAGAAGTAAGTTCACACTGACACATGCAGTTCAGGTTAAAAACACTTCAGGAAATTAATTAGCATCTAGTTAAAAAGCGGGCACGCAGGCCTTTTTATATGCAAAATGACATCATCATTGAATATCAGATAATAACAAATAAACATCATTAATTGGGTTAAATGTTAAGTGGCTATGTCAGTGTCCACCCATTAATATTATTAATTGGCTCAGAGATTTGAGTGACTAGTGAGGCACCCTCCCATCATGGGATGTCGTCGCCATTGCTCTTTAGCACGAGGCTTACTCGGTGGAAAGGGGGAGCTTGGGCATCATTTTACGTAGTTAGTGATGTCAGTCTCGTGGCCTGGTCCAAGGTTCTTTTATGAATAAAACATTTCATTTAGTCGCTGTTCTCCTGGCCTTGGATTATACTATGTTGCAAGTCAACGGAGATCCGCTAACTCCGGGGCTAGTTATGTCCTTAGAGAGAGAAAATACAATCTCTTATTCATTATATTGAATACTGTCATGTAAGGTGAACAAAATGGAGAGTTCTGTCACAGTGTGAGATTAAAAATGGAGTTAGTACAATTATTCAATACAAATTCAGTAAAGATTTTAATAATTCTACATCATAATCAGTACAGAAACAAGGCAAGACTGGAACAGACACCAAACATGAAAACAAACCAGAACTAGGAGAGCCCAGAAGCAGAGAAGGATAGGAAGCTAAACCCAAAATGTGTACACAATACATAAGGGGAACATTAACTAAACATGGTCAGAACAAGACAGGACTGTACATGGACTGGGAATACAAAATAAAACAAAATAAGACAAGATATGATAGGCAAAACAAGAGGAGACATAACCAAGTACTATATGTGAAAACCATGGGGATTTAGTTACATTATATGATCATACATTGCATAAGCCTGCCAACAATGCCAATGTACCCCATATTCGGCAGGTCCTACTCTGCCTAATGTCTGCTAAATAAACCATAATAAAGCACATATAGCATTTACCTGCTAGAAAGGGCAGAGGACTTGAAACCACTGCTGCGGGTCCAGACTGAAACAAAAGGATTCATGGAAATGGAACTGGTGTGGCAACTCAAAACAAACATTTAAATGAATCCTGGAGACTGGGAATTCCAGGGACGGAATAAAAGGAATGAACAAAGAAAACCCAGTATAAAGAAAACCAGACATAGAATAGAAAACCAGAAAAAACAAGAAAACTAAACAAGAATTGTAAAAAGAGTACTGGATACCAGAAGCCATTACTAGACTGATCCGCAATTTGGAACAGGATGTGACATTCACTGTAGCGGCTGTGCGCGCTTTCAGCGTTCTCACCCTGCTGCTGTTCGCCTGTCTGCGCTGCAGCATAACTTCGGCCTTCCCGCTCACCGCCTCATATGCGACGTGCCCACAAGGTGGAACTCCACCTTGCACATGCTGGAGAGACTGTGTGAGCAGCAGCAGGCGATAGTGGAGTTTCAGCTGCAGCACGCACGGGTCAGTCGCTCTGTACCAGACTTACCCTCCAAGAGATCCTCGTTAAAGGATTTAAAGTGGACTTATTCCAATTACAGGGCCTTGAAAGAGTCCTGTATTGTTATTTGTCGTCACTACCTCCCTGCATTGGCAGTTGGTAATTTGCACACCTGCTGCCTTCCTTGGATGTGGTAGCCGTTTATCAGGCTCCCTCTCCGGAATCGAACCCTGATTCCCTGTTACCTGTGGTCACCATGGTAGGTGCAGAAAGTACCATGGAAAGTTGATAGGTAGACATCCGAATACGTTGTCGCTGTCACGGGAACGTGCAATCGGCCCAAGGTTATCTAAATTCACCAAAGTGCCTGCGCAATGACTGCCGAGTTGCCCACATTCTAACTTGTGCTGATTACTGGGTGGCCACCCTGCTGGATCCCCATTACAAGGATAACGTACCGTCCTTAATTCCATCACTTGAGCATGATCAGAAGATGTGCGACTACAAGCGCACGCTTGTAGACGCGCTGCTGAGGGCATTCCCAACTGACACCGGGGGCTCAGTGGAAGTACAAGGCAAAAGCAGAGGAGGAGGAAGAGGTCGCCAATGCAGCTGGGGCACCGCCAGCACCTCACAAGGCAGGGTTAGCATGGCTGAAATGTGGAAAAGCTTTGTCAGCCACAACAACCAGCACCACCATCTGATATGGAACGTCTTAGCAGGAGGCAGCATTTCAGCAACATGGTGGAACAGTATGTGTGCACATGCCTACACGTACTGACTGATAGGTCTGACCCATTCAACTTATGAGTCTCCAAATTGGGCACATGGCCTGAGCTTGCTCTTTATGCCTTTGAGGTGCTGGCCTGCCCCGCAGCCAGTGTATTGTCTGAACTTGTGTTTAGCATGGCAGGGGGCGTTATCACAGACAAGCACAGCCGCCTGTCCACAGCCAACGTGGACAAGCTCACGTTTTTTAAAATGAACCAGGCATGGATACCACCAGACTCATCTGTACCTTGTGCAGAATAGACATTTATACCGACCTCACCCAGCCATTGTTATACTCAAGTGCACTCATTCTTTGTTTTCTTTTTTTATATGTCCCAATATTTTGGGGGCTACCCCAATTAAAAAAAAAAAAAAAACAATAAAAAACAGTGTTGGCTACCTCCACCTCCTCCACCGCCGCTTCCACCTACAGTGCCACGGTCACCGCCTCCTCAACCTATGGGTCACTTAGTATAAACTATGTACACAATAGCAGAGGCTTGTGAAGGCCTTTTCTCCATGCATCAGGAGTTGAGCTCAGTTTGAATAATGAATACCCTGCACTCCAACCCTCTCTCCAATGGATAATTCTGGTGATCCTCCTGACAGCCGTGCTTTAGATTTTTATTTATGTTCTTCCAAAGCTAAAATCAAAGATTCCATATAGTGCTATTTTATGGCTCAGCTGTATTTTGAATTTTTATGTATGTTGTGTTATTTTAAGTGATTTCCCTAGCCACAATTGTTTGCAGGGCACTTGTCCTACTCTTACCCCCATTTTACTTCATTTTGCAGCCCTCTAGCCCTTTCCAGGACGTTTTTAGAGACCTTTTAGTGCCCAAAAGTTCGGGTCCCCATTGACTTCAATGGGGTTCGGGTTCGGGGTGAAGTTCAAGCCCGAACTCTAACTTTTTGCTGAAGTTCGGATGAACTCGGTGAACACGAACATCCAGGTGTCCGCTCAACTCTAATTATGTTCCAGACAAACACCCGGAACAAAAATAACTTGTTTTTAAAGAATACGTCCCCTAATAAATCAACTTAAATTATCCAATTACCAGAGAAATACTTCCAGGTATAAACTTTGGGCTCTATTTATTTAATCTAATGGGACTTTACTGATTCAGTTTCATGATTCTGTTTATTTCTGATACTTGTCACTTTTGAGCCTTGTAGGCTTCTTTACTCTCCACTAAAGATAGAACCTTGTGTATGTTGTAACCCTGGCGACCTCCTACAATTCAAGAGTGGAACGCATGATGGCCGCTGATTGGAACGAACGCATCATACAGACGAGGTTTCTGGAAATGACGTCACACGAACAAAGAATACCCTGGAAAATTGATTATGGACAAGCCAAAACAGCTGAATTTCATTGGAAACACCCACAGGACCTCCAATGAGATGGAAAAGATGGCCATATAGAATGAAGGACTCTGGGGAGGAACGGTATATGCTGCTTTTTTCCTGCTTTAGGATTGTTTTTATTATTAGTAACCCTGAAGAAGTCTCTTGTGAGATGAAATGTGTAGGACCATTTTTCTTGTATTTTATTTCATTTTTTATACATATAATAAAGCAGTTTATATTTTCTGATGTATCCCAAGTCTGGCTTTCCATACTGTGTCGTCATCATCCAAAAGCTGAGAGAGAACCCTGGACAAACCCCCCAATCATCCAAGGGGAAGCACCCTATGGTGATTTTTAAGTCTCCATCTAGCAAATGCAATTGAATTTAACGCACAGCAACCTATTTTAACTGTATTACACTGTTATATTGTTATACCTTTCTGTAGATTATCAGCTGTATCCTCTGTATTCTGTTTGGCAATATTTGATGTGTAGTATACTGTCTGGAATATCCTGAGAGAAAGCTGTTTTCATTTGTATTGGAGAAGTCAGTGATTCCCAAACGGTGCACACAGGTGTACCGTGGAATGTTTCCCCGGTGCTATGATTATAGCACCGGGGAAACATTACTGCTGAACCAGGTCCGGCCGGGTGCCCCGGTCCTCTAATACAGCGACCGGCGCCCCTGTAATGTCAGCTGGCTGGGGGAAGAGAAAGCCTGTGTTACAGAAGTCCCCTCTGTCTGCTACAACCTGGTTACTTTTGCTATTATTTTTGGTTACTTTTACCCGAACAAGTATTACAGGCCATTCGTATGTGGCATGTGGCGCCAATTAAACCCGTTCACCTTTCAAAACACCAAACAAACTGACAAATGGACAACCACCCTACCTGAAGAGTGTGCCTACAATCAACCACCCAGGAGCTGCGGTTTTGTTGTTAACCGCAGCCTATTTGACTGTTGTGACAAAACCCCTGTTTTGCTAGATCTCTGTAGTCTTTCGGGTTCATCTGTTATTTGTGTATTTGGCCCCTTCCGTGCATTTATTAAAAAAACTGCTAGACCACCAACAATGGACGTGTGCCGCTCATTAACCACCCAGCCGTTGCTGTTAACCACGGTTATTTGATGAACGGCTGGGTGGTCACCATTCGTTTGTCGAATACGTGGTGGCGGCCATTTTAAATTGTTGAATGCCCAGCGGTACTTTGCCGTCGACAGTGTGGAACTATTGTCGGTCTTAATTTCAGACGAATATCGCTGGGGATCACCAACATCCATTGCATCCATATCCAGTTGCACGAACACCGTGCCGTTTGGGACATTTATTATACAAATAAGACCGACCTCAGGTAGCTGAATTCATGGGGCTAATTTCAGACACATTTCCACGAATAGCCAGTGAACCAACTCTTTAGCTCCATAGCGTTCGAACTGTGTTCGTGGGATCTTAGTGCTGTTCAGCTATTTTGAACACTCAGATCTAAGCTATCTGGGAGTATGTTGAACATGGGGATTCCGTTCAGCGAAATACAAGTTATGGATTTTAATACATTTTTGTTATATTGTAAAATGAATATGTTTCTCTCTACCTGGAGATAATTGAGTTTACTCCAACCACTTAAGCCAATTATCTCAAGGATAGAGAGGAGGGATTGCACTGTTTGTGTGGGTGTGTTTATTATTGTAATGTGAAATGATTGGTTACTGTATTTTTTGTCACAGTCTTCCACAAGTGAACCTTGTTGGAAGACCTGCATAAAAGGCCGAGCTGTGACCGTCAATAAACCAGACTCATGCTTAGGGGATTGGGAGCTATAATCACTACTTTGCTCTACTTCAGCTGGGATTTAGGGAGAAGCTACAAGGATCATTCCTACAGGGATAGCAGGATCCGTTACAACTGTCTTCAGGGTGGTCACCGTTCGTATGAAAAGTGTCGAACGGGGTACCAAACTAAAAGACAAACTAACTCCTGAATGGCCGATCACCTGGCCCCTGGTGTGTGCCGCCAGGTAACCACCTTGAAGCTGCGGTTTTTGTGGTTAACTGCAACATAATTGATCATCGCCAGCATGGTCGCCATTCGTATGCACGAACACGTTGTAGTGGACATCTTTTATTGTCGAACAGGCGTGGGGGTCCTGGTCGTCAAACACGTGGTACTATTTTCAAACAATAGTTTGTGTGAACCTCGCTGAGATACATCTTGCCCCGTCTGTTCATGCACAAAAACTTGAAAGACATGCCGTATGACACTTGGTATCCACAAAAGCTACCGGCCAGTGGACAGATCCCATGGCCGACGATACACGGGCTGCTAATAGTTGAACAACCCTACAGACAATTTTCATCCCCATGGCATTCGCATAACATTAGTGAGATCTAAGCTTTTCGTGTATTTTGTGCGCTCAGATCCAAGCTGTCTGGGGATGGGTTGAATGTGACATTTAAACATTATAATGTGAAAGTTATTCATTTGTATTCGGTTTTTGTGTACGTATAAAAATGTGGTTATTTCATGTACTTGGAGATAATTGAGTTACTGTAACCATTGAGACTAATTAATTCCAGGGTAGGAGGGAGTGTTTTCTGTAAAATGCAGTTTATTTGTATTGGCTGTGACATTTTGTTATCCTGTGTTATCCTGTGTACCATCAGGTCCAGAGGGGTGTTCCTCTGGCCTGAAAATATGTATAAAAAGTCGTATCAAATCAGTTCTTCTTACCCTCAACTCGCAGCCTCGACTCATGTTGTAGGGAAAGGCGTTATACTAGCTTTACTTATAGCTAGGGGGATATCTACATTCACAGGATTGCTGTGTTATGCTGTTCTGAGTGGCGCTCTCCCTCTCCAAGATCGGGAACCAGGACATCTAAGCGGCCAACCTTCAGCTAGCCTGGAGGCAACCGTAACAGCCTGTCACTTCCTCCCAGCGTCATGCAGAGAGACCGCACAGGAGAGAGGCAGCAGCAGCATGAGGGGAGAAGAGCATGAAGAGCTCCAGACCCCTCACTACCACAGCAGTAGGACTCAAATCACCAGATATTAAAGAAAATCACTTGTATATGTGTGAGCTTTTGTATATATATATATATATGTGTGTATGTGTCAGTGTACTTCTGTGTCTGCGCATACATCTCTTTGTCAGGGTGTGTTTTTATATCAGTGTGTGTATCTGTGTCATGGTGTGGGCATGTATCAATGTTTGTGTGTGTCAGGGTGTTATGGGCAAATACTAATATTGCAAGTTTTAGAATGAAATGTTGTATTTCTTAAACTGTGTACTTTGTCTTTAAGAGATATTGCAAACTGACAAGGTGTTAGAAATGGAACATATTGTTTTTCATAACTGTTTCT